GTAGCTTGAGCGATTTTATTTACTACTACACACTAATATACACTACACTATACACTACACTACTATACACTACACTATTACTATACACTACACTACACTATTACTATACACTACACTATACACTACACTATACACTACACTATACGTAGCTTGAGCGATTTATTACTACTACACACTAATATACACTACACACTAACTACACACTACACTATTACTATACACTACGCTATACACTACACTAACACTACACTAACTACACTACACTATTACTATACACTACCTAACTACCTATACACTACCTATACACTACACTATACACTACACTATGATACGTAGCTTTAGCGATTTCATTTCAATGTTACCACGATACGATACGTTCAATGCATGCTAAAAGTTTATTTTTCTAGCAGATAGGATTGTTTCCTGAACAAACTTCATATTAATTTGCAGTTCATATAGGTAGGCTAAGAATTTACCTTGGTTTTTTTACTTTAAATGTACTGTGCAATACAGTCTTGTAATTAATAAAACACACAGGATATAGTCTATACAGTACGCTACTGTAACTTGCTCTGTTTTGCTAGATTACCACCACCCTGTAAGACTCCTGGCTAGGCTAGAGGCCATCTTCGACTTACGATATTTTCGACTTACGATGATAGGGTCGTCGTGACACATCTCCATCGTAAATAGAAGTGACATTCAGATCGACATCACATGCCACCCTCCATCTGCACTGCTCCTTCTGCTGCTGCTGAGTTCAACAACTCGGCAGAATCAGCGTCACCGCCACGCAAAGTAGAGGAAAGGTAAAACCATCATTGACATGTTTTATAAATACATATTCAACTTAACTAATTCGTTATCTATATACAGATAACATGAAAACACGATATTGTTTATCGATATACAGATACAGCTAAACTACGTGTTATCCATATACAGATAAAACTAAACTAGATTTAATCGGTATACAGATAATTGATATACTCTTAGGTTTTTTTCGGTAAAACTACGTAGGTAAGAAAAGTTATAAAATTATAATAAACGAAAAATAACTCAATTGTGATGTAATTTAGTTATTTTTCATTTATTATTATATTTTTCTTATTTTTTTCCTACGTGACTTTACCGAAAAAACCTAAGAGTATGAATCCTTGCAGTTACGAAAGCTTCAAATCTAAAAGAAAATTCGATATATTTTTAAATCCTTTATATTAAGTTCACTTGCTTGCTTGCGCGCTTACGACCGTGCAAATCTTTCGGTCGTTTTTTAACCCACTTCCCGTGATCCAATCGAGCTGACATTTTGCACACAGACTCGTTGTGCGTGACAATTTATTTTCGTGAAACATTTTTTCCAAAATTTTCCACTTTTTAGGAAAAAAATTTTCACTAACACAATCGTATATTTTTCCTAAACACAGAAAATTATTCAAGAAAACAACAAAAAATGTACAATATAAACAATCATACAAAAACTGAAAACCTTATAATCCTTATATACGACTTTCCTTATATTTAATTTAAAATACCAATGTGATAAAAATGAAACTCTTACTCAAGAAAAACGAAATGAATAATAAAATAAAACCGATGCCACGCATATAAAGGATTTATAGTGAAAAACTTTGTTTTACGGGTTAATTTTTACCTTTTAACTTTTACCTTACCTTGCCGGGGCCTACGTGCAGTGAAACCCTGGATTGTGATTAACTTGGTCTCGAGTGTTTTGCAAGATAAGCAATTAAAACAAATATATTGATCAACCAGCGAGGTCTTGCAATAGGAGAATTTCATTGTTAAAGTCGCACAAACAGATCCCAGTGAGCTCAGCGATGGCAGTGGTTCCGTTAGTGACAGTGAAAGTAGTCCTACACAATCACCATCCTCTCCTCCACTCATCTCCTCTCTCTCATCTCCACGATTACATTTAATGGATACATTTGATTACTTTATATTACATTTAAATACAAATTTTAAAAAAGGTACAGTATTTTGTAATGTCATCATGGGACCTCCTTTGCCCGTACCAAAATATACTAATAGGTTTTTTTCCCCTTTTTTTTCTGGCAACAAAACTGACACCTTTTGCAAGGTTAATGTAAGCATGATTCCTTGCAAAAGGTGTCAGTTTTGTTGCCAAAAAAAGGGGAAAAAACCTATCAGTATTTTGTAACGAATAATTTTTGTATGAATTTTTTTTGGGTTGTGAAACGAATCGTCTTGAGTTTCCATTTTGTCTTATGGGGAAGTTCGCTTTGATATACGAGTGCTTTGGATTACGAGCACGTTTCAGGAACGAATTATGCTCGCAATCCAAGGTTTCACTGTACTAGTAATCCCTCGCCACTTCGCGGTTCAAGTTTCGCGGCCTCAGTGCATCGCGGATTTTTCAAACTGATTTAAAGGCCTCATTATACCTGTGCAGTAACACCATCATCATCATCATTCATCATCACATTCATCGAACTGCACAGGTCTGTCATCGTCGTCATTGTCATCGTCATTGTCGTCGTCGTCGTCATTACTGGAGTCAAGTCTCAAGATACTACTGTCATTGGTGAGTGTAGAACACCATAATACGTATCGTATGAGAGAGAGAGAGTGAATGTATAATATTAAGGTTTTATAATTAAATAGATTTAAGTAAAATCTATATATATATAAAATCGCGAATCTGTCTGTCTGTCTGTGTGTGTGTGTCGCCGGACCATACGCAGTTTCATTGGACGGCGGTTGCCCCTGGCAACGGGTAGCGACGCCATCGCCGCTTTCATTGGACAGCGGTTGCCCCTGGCAACGGGTAGCGACGCCTTCGCCGCGGGCTGCAGTTTCATTGGACGGCGGTTGCCCCTGGCAACGGGTAGCCACGCCTTCGCCGCTTTCATTGGACGGCGGTTGCCCCTGCCAACGGGTAGCGACGCCTTCGGCGCGGGGTGGACGCCATTTTTAATTCCCCTTTAAAATAGGCGCACGCATTAACACGCGACTCTGACGTAAATTCATCAAAGTTTCACGTCCTCTTCACTCCCCCCCCACCACAATGTGTGCAATTACTATTATAGGGTCGGTACATTATAAAATTATAGCGATTAGACTGTATTATTGTAGCGCGGGGGGGGGGGGGGAACGGCACCCGTACCCAGCTCAGCCGGGTGCCAAAATCAGGCGAGGCCGGAGGCTCTGCACGGTGCTAGGCCTCGACACCCACCACGCGACTCTGAGGTAAATTCATCAAAGTTACACGTCCTCTTCACTCCCCGCCACCACAATGTGTGCAATTCTATTATAGGCTCGGTAAATCATAAAATTATAGCGATTACACAGCATTATTGTATCGCGGGGGATCGGCGCGCCTCACTAAAACCCTACAACGGATCGGCGCGCCTCACTAAAACCCTACAACGGATCGGCGCGCCTCACTAAAACCCTACAGCGGATCGGCGCGCCTCACACAAATCCTACAACGGAAGCGTAACGCATTGTAGTGTCGTGGTTAGCGCGCCACGCTACGAACCCGGCGACCCGAGTTCCATTCCCACTCACGGCCACCACCGGTGACGATTATTTGAACCGGACCTGGGCCTCCCCTAGGTCGACTCAGCCTCAAACGAGTAACTGGTGTGGTGTGTGAACATCGTCACTGGGGAGACAAAGGCGGCCGGGCGTGGTGAATCCAAGTTCCCGGGCGAAGCCGGGTAGTACAGCTAGTTGTATATAAAGCAATTGAGAGGAACAAGCTGTTGTACGTATGCCTCGGCGTGGCATCACACAAGGCGGGATGCTGCTGAATGCTTCTAGATGCTACCTACACGCCTCAGTGTTAGTTGAGCTTGCGTATGCATCTCACGTGTTATTGCGGGCTGTGCTTTACCCTATATTATATAGTATTTATTACAACGCAATTTTTCCACAACCCAGTGTTCTTCACGAACGCAACTACCGTGTTATAGGAGAACGATTTCCTCCACAGGTGTGCCAACAGCACCGTACCACAAGCATTCTTTATTCATTCACATGCCTCACTTGCCTGCACTGTCTGCTTGTCACAAAACCTTTGCAATGTTTCACTGCACGTGGCATAACAATCCAGGAGTGACTGTGAAAGCCTCGGTTTTGGCTCTAGTAGATGCCAAGTTGGCACATTTCTATGCGGTTGGACTGCTGCTTAGCGACAAAGCAGCAATCGAGCATTCTAACATGAAAATAATTACGAAATAGTCGTGTGCTGTCAAGTCAATGCCTTATTCCCTGTTGAGCCCGGCGAGATGTATTATACAGTAGTACTAATTCTGCGAGATGTCTGGGCAACTGTCTGTGAAAAGGAAGTAAATTCAGTGGACCTTAACATGGTTTTTGGTGCTTTTGTTTAATCCTGAGCCAGGGGAGAGAACTATGGCAGAGACCAGTCTCTGTAGAATGGCCACTGTTTATTTCACTCAAAAATGGTACAAATTTTATTGACCCCCTTAGGGATGATGACTGCGATTGGTCAACGTCTAACTCAAATCAAATTAAAATAATACTCGGTTGGGTATTGGATTGTCGAGGATAACAGCACAGGATATGAATCTCGCTGGGCGGCGCAGTGTTTATAGAGCACTCAACTCACAATCAGAAGTTGCGAGTTCAAATTCACTTGGGAGTTGCAGTTTCACCGAGTTGGAGTTGGACTTGAGAAACATTTTCTGTTGCATTCATAATGACTACCACTTTTAAGCCGATACAGATTGTCTTATCGGGAGACTGGCCCCTGCCAATGAAATGTTACAATAAGAATAAAGTGTTCATGAAAGTGGATGGACTGGTCCCCACCAGGGGAGTGTAGATGTTCTATCACAGGCTCATGACTCTCGACGAAGATGACTACCATTCAATGCTTGTCGACAGCTTTTTCCCTTTTGTTACAATTCCTGAAAAAATGTGCCAATGTCTCCACGGCCAATTCTTGTGACCGATTCTCGCCTTGACTTTGCGTGCGCAGCATGCCGCGAGCCATGGACGTGACGAGCCGATCGAGCGGCGGCGGGGACCCCAACGCCCTGCCCGAGGGCGTGCTGCCTACACCGGCGCGCATGGTCTACGTGTCCGAGAAGCATCCACGCATCACCCTGGAGGCCATCAGCGTGCTCCGGCGACACCGCAAGTTCTGCGATGTCGTGCTGGTGGTTCGTGCTCGCACACGCACGTTGCCACGACCACCGTCACCAATACCATCATCACACACCGTCGCCACCACCAATAGCTTTGTCACAAGCGCCACGAATGTCAACGTCACAAGCACCAGCGGGTTGTCGCAATCCCAATACCACCTTCACAAGATTATATTCTCTTCCCGAATCTCTATAACATCATCACCTACACAACGGCCACAATTTGAACCACCACCAGCTTTAGAAACACAATATAGCTCTCGTAGCGAGTTGATGGCTTCACCCTGCTCTGCAGTGAATACAATCTCGTCATTGCCCCGTGCTCTTGAATGGAGGAATTTATAGTTGCATGAAAGGAGGATGTTGACATGATTCCATGGTATATTTGAGATTAGTAATATGGAAAAAATATGTAAGAATGTGTCTAATAAACACAGAGGATGGTGACCGACTGAAATTCGGCACAAACCGAATCAAGATTTTGCTCATGAGAGTTCCCAAAAGTTACAGCCTTGAGGTGTATTAGTTTTATTCATAGGGGTCAGCTACAAGGTCCAAATAGCTTTAAGTCTCATGCTAAATACTTCAAAATATATGATCTCCGATCAATGAATGAAGTAATTGGCTTCTTGTGAAGCATTATGCTGTAGTCAATAAAAAGCGGACAAAGCCTGCGTCTCTATTACCACTGTATATATTTATATATAAGATGGTAAACTTGCACCTTCCACCTTTTCATATTGTTTATAATCTTACAAAAGCAATGGCATCCTCGCCTCCCACAGACCCACCTCCCAGTAGAGGAGGCGCAGTGAGGGCATCGCACATTCACGCCCCACCAACCCGCGTCTGTCTTTGGCAGGTGGGCAGCCGCAAGATCAACGCGCACCGCGTGGTGCTGGCGGCGTGCTCCCCCTACTTCCACGCCATGTTCACGGGCGAGCTGGCCGAGTCACGGCAGGATGAGGTGTCCATCCGTGACGTCGACGAGACGGCCATGGAGCTGCTCGTTGACTTTGCCTACACGGCACAGGTGATGCCACCAGCCGTGCACGCAGTGTTGCTGCTCTAGCAGGCTGGGCCAGTAATGGACTCTCATCCACTTTAGGAGAGCAAAAGACGTGAACCTTCGTGTTGAGTGTTTAAGGCAGTTGTGTATGACCACATCAGCCAGGATGCGACTGATCTTATAGGATGTCAAAAGCAAAGCAGGGTTGTTGAGCCTGGATAGTGCTTGGATACACAGGGGATGGTGGAGGAGCTGCGGGGGTTAGGTGGAGGGGTAGAGTGTGAGGAGTATAATACAGGAATCCCACGCGATGCGTTACGGGGAAATGCTACTTTACTCAAAATGACTTAAAGTGAACTATCATTTTCTACAGACATAACGTTAAAACCAGGGTTTGCGTTCCTAGCCAAGATAAAAAAAAATAATTACTGTCAGAAAGTGTACCAAAATGCGTATGATTGTAAGCTGTAATTTTAACTAACAATAAATGCTAATAATTAGAATTTACCAGAGATAGTTGAAAAGCTTTCTCATCGAGGCCTCTTGTGGCGAGCGCGGTGTGATGCAGACGAAGGGGCAGCTGCTCTTTTTTCTGACGATGGGCTGCTGCTGCTGCTGCTGCCACAGCTCTGCTCACCAGAGGAAGCTGGCTCTCGAAATATTGTATTATGTTGAATTTCTTTCACACCATATGTAGCCAACCGTGCTAATCAAATGTGTATATTCATTACAGCAGCATGCCATCACAGCTGGAAATGACATTTGTTTGGGGTTTACTTTGACTTGGCTAAGCCACACTGTGCTTAGAGAGCGTGACTCCCAATAACAAGTTTGTGAGTTCATATCCCTGTTGGAATTCTACTCGGATTACCTTGCCGCTGGGACCTATAAAATGAGTACCACTTTGTGTAAAGTCGGCAGTTGTTTGGCTCACCCCTGAAGCACAGGACAGCAGAATTTCTACAACAAACTAAGGTCCGTTAAACGAGATGAGAATCTCACCATTCTTGCATTTGAGCAGAACACCGCTTGCTTCTCATGCAGTCTGCGCTGCTGCGATCCACAGATCACGGTGGAGGAGTGCAACGTGCAGGCCCTGCTGCCGGCCGCCTGCCTGCTGCAGCTCGCCGAGATCCAGGACACCTGCTGCGAGTTCCTGAAGCGGCAGCTCGACCCCTCCAACTGCCTGGGAATCCGGGCCTTCGCCGATACGCACGCGTGCCGAGACCTGCAGCGCACCGCCGACAAGTTCACGCAGCACAACTTCCAGGAGGTGGCCCTCTGCAGACACACAAGCCAGAGCACAGCCAGAGCACCAGCCAGAGCACACAGCCAGAGCACAGCACACAGCCAGAGCACACAGACCACAGCACACAGCCAGAGCACACAGCCAGGCCACCAAGTCAATGCAGATTCACTCTCACAGCGCATGTTTGGGCCAATTGTACTTTCGGGTGTCGTGTCACGAGGCCAAGTGTTTGTTGGTTTCTCTCGCAGAGCAGTGCTGCAAGCTCCCATGTTCGAGGACAGCCCGCAGAGGCGGGATATCACACAGCTACTTTTGTGGCTTACGATCTGCACCATAAAAAACTGCATTTTTACAACTCACTACACACAGCAGAACTAAGTGTAACGTTCTAGATTTGAAGTTTTCGTGACTGCAAGGATCCATACTTTTTGGTTTTTTCGGTAAAGTCACGTAGGTATAAAATAAAATAAATTAAAATGAAAACAACTAAATTAAATCACGACGTTTCGGGCGCAACACAAGCGTCCGTCTTCAGGTACCTGATTTAATTTAGTTATTTTCATTTTAATTTATTTTATTTTTTACCTACGTGACTTTACCGGAAAAAAAGTATAAATATAACGTCGTTGGGTTTTTGTGTGTGTAGTCATTGGTGACTGGGCTGAGACCATCAAATCACTGCACATTAAAACCCATTTTAATCACAGGCCTTAATTCAAAAGCCAGCATCTAAACGGTGCCACCTCAGTGCTCTTATCATCTGAGCCACATTAAAGGAAAATGCAAGCCAAAAGAGAGTTGTGTTTTTGTAAGCACCTAGCCTGTGTAGCCTGGGCAGTCCAACGCATCTTTGGTTATGATAGAGCTTTTAAAATTGACTTTCAGACGTGCTGCCAAAAAGCTCTAGTGATATCATTGCAGCACATTAATGTAACTGCATTGACTGCTGCAATTATATCGCTAGTTCACGAGAGTACAAGACTTGAAGTAACTTTCAAGTATTTTGCTTGTGCGCAATTAAGTTTCAGACTCATCTCGGACAACCTGGAACACAGAGCCTAGGTGTGTGTCCACATCATGGGACCTCCTTTGCTAGTACCAAAATATGATAATAGGTTTTTCCACTTTTTTTCTGGCAACAAAACAGGTGTTAAGATGTTAAAACACCAAACTGAAACCTTTTAAGAGGAATCATGTCTGCATTAACCACAATGCTTGTGGTCAGAATGCAAACCAAAAATATTCTGATAATATATGCATTGTCCTTGAAACTGATTGGTCCACACCAGAGACAGCTTTCTTTTGAGCCTCGTCTCAAACGGTGTTAGACCAGAGGACGCCTTTTTGACCAGAGGACAATGCATATGTTATCAGAGTTAGTTTTTTGTTTGCATTCTGACCACAAGCATTGTGGTTAATGCAGACATGATTCCTTGTAAAAGGTTTCAGTTTGGTATTTTAACATCTTAACACCTGTTATTGGTTCTTTCGGTAAAGTCACGTACATGATGATTGCTTGTGTTGCAATCGAAACGTCGTGATAATTTTATTGTTTTATTTTTGATATTTTATTATTTCCCTTCTACGTGACTTTACCAAAAGAACCAATAATATGAATCCCTGCAGTCACGAAAGCTTTAAATCGAAATCTTAACACCTGTTTTGTTGCGAGAAAAAAGGGGAAAAACCTATTATCATAGAAGTGTGTCTATAAGAGGCTCTGTTTTATTTGGCTGTGGATTCCTTTAAAAATATATTTCTGCCACTTTCATTGTGACGTGCAAAAGAGATTGCCGTTCACTTTCATTGTATTGGTAGCTAATTGTGTTGATTTTGTATGTATGTAGTTATGTTTACGTGGGCAGTTGAGGGTACTTGTAATGCAATTATGTGTGTGTTGCAAGTAGTGTGTGTGTGGCTATCAAGGCACGATACTAATCTCCACAAAGGGTAATGAATCCACCAAGAATTTAAGTTTTCTGTGCAATAAACAATTTCAACTCGCAATGTGCCGCACAGTATCCGCTCACTCTCGAAGACAGGAGAGAGCATGACTCGGAGGTGTGAGGAGGAACTAAAGACAAACAGGAAGGCAGCAGCCAGGTGGTGAGCTGGCGTGTACAATGTCTGTGCTCCTCTATATATGAAGGTGCTTTTAGCCAATTAATGTTGCCGATATATGTGAGAGGAAACCGGAGCACCTGGAGAAAGCCTACACGTGCGAGGCGACAATACTATCCCATACAGAGGGAACGGATCGAGTCCACATTTTTGCTTTACCGTTTATCCTGGTGGTAAAGCCACGGGAATGAAGTTGTTGTGACATTTGTGTGATCTGCCACCCCTCGACTCCACGGCGCTGGATTCCAGTCGTGTACCACCACCACCCAGCCATCAAGAGGTGCTCCATATTAACACTGTGCTCAGTAATCCAGGCTGACATGAAGCGGGGCATCTGTTGCTTTCGCAGGTAATGGAGAGTGAAGAGTTCATGCTGCTTCCTGCCAACCAGCTCATCGACATCATATCCACCGATGAGCTAAACGTGCGCAGCGAGGAGCAGGTGTACAGCGCCGTCATCGCCTGGGTCAAATACAACATCCAGGAGCGCCGGCCACAGCTACCCCAGGTGCCTGCCTGGTGTGCGCGCTTGCGTAACCGCTGATCGGCGGTTGTGTCCTTCCTAGGCCTCCGCTAGGTACGTGGACGCCCCTAATGTCAAGCCACTGCAGGTTGAGAGCCTCCCCATGCTGTGTATTTCGTGGAGGTTACACGACCAGATTTTGCCACGCTCGTCAGTACGGGTTAGTTCAGGTGGAGGCGAGATGTTTGACCATCATTAGACCTCCTTGGCCAGTGCCAAGATATAATAATAGGGTTTTTCCATTTTTTTCTGGCAACAAAACTGAAACCTTTTTTACAAGGAATCATGTCTGCATTAACCACAATACTTGCGGTCAGAATGCAAACAAAACACACTGATAATGTATGCATTGTCCTTGAAACTGATTGGTCCACACCAGAGACGGCTTTCTTTTGAGCCTCGCCTCAATTGGTGAGTTTTGTTGCCAGAAAAAAGGGGAAAATCCTATTATTAGATGTGTTACCAGTTTAGCACAACAGTTGATCTTGCTGCACTGCCATCTGCTGGTATCATAGCACATTATCACCCGATAACAATCTGTTCTACGTAGCTTGGTCGTCCCTCAATCAATCAAATAATCACTTCTTCCTGAAACTAAATTTGATGCTTTTATTGTGAGCGTAAGAACCTGTTTTGAAATCAATTATTTAGTTCATCCCCACCTAGTAGAGCGGGGAGCTCATGCTTGACAACATAAAAGCACACACAGTAGAGGTAACTATATCGCTCCTCTTGCTGATCGTAATAGGATACAGTGGCTGCACGACGACAAAACTGCCCCCCCTCGCGTATGAATGCACAACTTCCACCACTGGCTTAGGGCCGCCCACATTGATGAGCACCAGCCAAATCTCGTGTGTGCTTTAATAGTGTCATTAACCAGGTGACATCTTCTGTAGCCCCCCCCCCGCCCGCTCCCAGCGCCAGCATTGTGTCTCACCAGCCGTGTCTCAACAGAAGTCCCCCCCCCTACTCCACAATCCCTGCCCCCTGCATCTCTCCTCCCTCTTTACCTTATATAATCACTTGTCACAAACAGCTGTCTTTGCCCACTACAGTAATTTTGTTTCTTACTGTGGTTGTCCCACCTGATGACGGAAGCTTGTGTTGCTTCCGAAACGTGGTGATTTAATTTGGTTATTTCTATTTTTTATTTTTATTCTTACATTTTATTTTAATGTTTCACCTACGTAACTTTACCGAAAGAACCAATGAGTATAGTGGCAACAGTGTGTGACTATTCGTCTTGTTGAAAATGTATTACAGTCTAGATAGCAGTGGAATAGTATTCTGAAAACGCACTGACGCAATCGCATCATCCCAGCCCGAATTCCTTGCCACACACACGGGGCGCATGGTTCTTGATTATATCCCCTCTCCTCTAGGTTAACTCGACCTAAAATGAGTATCCAGTGTTTGTGTTATCACTACTTGGGTAGCAAAGGTGTATGTGTGATGCCAAACAAAAAAGCTCCGCACATGTGTCTAAGCAGCCGGTTTGTCTATAGGAAGGCCTGTGTCTTGTTTGTGTATGGGTGTATCAATCTGGACAAAGTCCCGTCTGTGGATCTCTCTCGCAGGCAATGATTCAATCCAATTAAACCATACAATGTATATCTGTATAGCATCTAAATGCAGCTGCATCTCAAGATGCCGTACTTTTGTTATTGCCGTATAAGGTTAAGCGAGGGATCTTCTTCTCCGTGTGTGTGTGCGTTAGTGTAACGGTTATCACGCTAGGCCTCCCCTAGGTCGACTCGGCCTCAAACGAGTACCTGGTGCGGTTTGTAAACATCACCACTGCGGAGGCAAAGGTGCCGGGTGTCGTGTTGGCCACCCACCCCCTTGTGTGTCGTGCCGGTCTTCATAGGGGCTCGCGAACAGCACTTGCTCAATGAAAAATAAGAATAGGTTCTACCCTTTCTGGCAATAAAACAGGAGGTGTTAGGATGTTCAAACACCAAATACTGGTAAAGAAGGTCCCATGATAGCACTTGCTCTAACAGTCTGTTAAAGGCTATACGGGGGATCTTTGTCTTTGTGTAGGTGCTGCAACACGTCCGTCTGCCCCTGCTCACACCCAAGTTCCTGGTGGGCACAGTGGGGACGGACCTTCTGGTGAAGAGTGACGAGGCATGCAGGTAGCCGGCCACGCTGTCACGAGTGGTGGTGCGTGTTTTCCGTGAAACCCACGGGAGGCTGCCATGCCAATTTCCGCGTCGTCGGCTGAACAGGATTCGCAGAAAATCACGAATGTTGGGATACATTTTACGTGAACATCAAAACCTTCACCTTGGCAGGAAGGTGATGTATTGTTTCCGTGGTCACTGCCGTGACTTATTTTGTGACATTTTCCGCAAGTCAGAATCTTTGATCAAGTGAGCAATGGGGCTTGAGCTCACCTCGTTTGAAGGCAGAGCCAGTAGTCGGGATATCACATTCGGAATCAGAATCTTTATTTAGACTGGAGGAATCCGATGAGCTTTGACGCTCTTTTTAACAGACGTCCAGTTTGGGTCGGTCTATTGTACACGCCAGTCTCTACATCGGATCACCACTGTGGACATGCCACAAACGGTACGTGCTGTATCCATGGTGGAGGAAAGATAGGCTGAGTGGACCCCGGAATTTGATGTAATACTTGAATATCCTTTAATTACACCTACACAATGGTACTACTCAAAATAACTAGGCGAGTCAGGAACGCGGATGCATAAATTTGACACTCGTGCGAACATGTACACTCACAATGATACCGTTAATTAAATATAATCACAGGTTTGTTTTCCTGCTACTGACAAGAAGGATCTACGTTTTTTCTGAGCAAAGAAGGCAAGCGAGCTTGAACGATGAAATGAAAAAAATTACTTATAATTTCAACAAAAATCAACTACACATTCCACCCACTTCTATTATAATTCTGGGCTATCCATTCCCCAGCTTGGATAGACCAGTGTGAAGGCATGACTACAGACTTCTTCGGCTCATACTCTTCTTAGTCGCAGCTCAGCCCTGGCTTCACATGGCGGCTCAGTTCAGGCGTGTGCTGCCGAGTAGCTTCCAGAGACGCATTAGCAGCTCGTCATCCATGGCTTGGCGCAGGAGGAAATCTTGAGCATGGCTGGGATCGTGCTCATAGGCCAGCTAAAATTAAGCACATGAATTTGAGCCATGGCCTACTTGAACCAGAGCCAAGTCTGGGCTGAGCCTTGACTAGCAATATGGGACTTTTACAGTGTTAATTATGGCTCCGTTTGACATTAGAAGATTGTGGTGACCCACACGAATCATAACAAAGGTACAGGAATCCCCCACGATAAGTTTCCGCATTGTGCATTGTTTTGCATATACGTTTCTGATTAATACTCTTATATAAGCACGCAACTTTATCTGTGATGAACGCTGCACTTTTCATCGTTTTCATGCAGGGGGTGCTGCAAACCTACGTGCCCCCTGCATGAACGACTGAGGCGCAGGGACAGACGTTCGATTACATTGGAATCGATCTGCAGATGGCGGTCTTCTCGCACGGCCAGCAGCTCTATATCGCCTTAACTCGATCCCGCAACCCCAAACAGGTGAAAGTCCGCATCGAACCGAACCCCCAGCAAGGCCATCTACTTAACGGCGAGAGAAAATTCACACGAAATGTCGTTTTCAATGAAGTCTTCCAGATGTAAAATGATATAAGCTTTTCATGAAGAAATAAAATTATCTAATTCTAAACAATTCAAAGATGTTTAATTAAAAACTTCAAAACGGAGCATCGGGTGCTTGCGTGAATGCGTCGTTCGTGTTAAAAAATATTGTGACTTTCCTGGCCGAAGGCCGTAAATGGTTGTGAGGTGCGCCACAGGCGCCCCAAACAAGCCCAAGTGTCATGTTTGTCTTGTGCTTTCTGGAAAAAAAATGCATATTAGTTTTTGCGCAATTGCCTTCCTTGTTTAATAATTGTGCAAATTTTCTTTGCACGATTTTTAAAATGAATGTATATGCATAACACGAATGCACGAGGGAGAAAGCGGACTTTTGCGATGTAATACCGAACTGTACACGCATAGCACGTACCACCAGAACTGTACACGCATAGCACGTACCACCAGGAATCGCCAAGAGGCCTCGATCAGCAAGCTCTTAAACCATCTCTGGTATTACGTTTTTTGTATTATTTGTATTCTTATTTAAAGCGTATGTTCACTTATAATCATATGCTTTTTTGTACACTTCATGACATTTAGTCGCGCATTTTCGAGAAATGTCGGCTAGCAACGCAACCCCTGATTTTAACATTATGTTTATGGGAACTTAGAGCTCGCTTTAAGTACTTTTGAGTTAAGTAGCATTTCCCAGGAACGCATCCCTTATGTATCGTGGGGGATTCTTGTATTATGCTCCTCCCCCTTCACCATCCCCCGTTTTTTTATGCTGTGCGCTCGCTGCGTGCATTAATGTTTTGTTGTTTTTCTCTGTTCGTCGCTCAAGAGACCTCGTGGATGAAGCCAAGAACTATTTGCTTCTGCCCCAAGAAAGACCACTCATGCAGGGCCCCCGCACGAAACCCCGCAAGCCCATCCGCTGCGGGGAAGTGCTCTTCGCAGGTGAGCTGTGATGGGATGTGCGCAGGTGCGGGAGGTCGTGGGTTCGATCCCGACCATGATGCCTGCTGTATATTCAGAGTTTGCATGTGTCTCTCCCCCCGTGGTGGCGTCGATTTTTTTTCAGGTCCTCCAGTTTTTCCCCTGCACATGTGTTTGGAATATTTGGCTGCTATAAATTTCCACATGATTAGCCACTTTGAGCTATAATTTGTGGCCAGGTCGCTTCTGAAAAAGACCTATACAGCTTCGTGGGCCTTAGCAGGTAAAATTTTAATCGTTTGTTTAGTTTAATAGGTGTTTACTAACAGAAATGACCTCAACGATCTGTTAAGGCTACAAGGGGATCTTTTCTCCCTGTCCATCACCGTGCAGTGGGTGGCTGGTGCAGCGGCGACGCCATCTCCAGCGTGGAGCGCTACGACCCGCAGACCAACGAGTGGCGCATGGTGGCCTCCATGAGTAAGCGGCGCTGCGGCGTGGGGGTGGCCGTGCTCGATGACCTCCTCTATGCCGTGGGCGGTTACGATGGATCCTCCTACCTCAACAGTGTGGAGCGGTGCGTGCGAACGAGCGAGTCGGCGGGGCGATTGAGGGACGTATGAGCGAGTGCCTCTGTGGGGAGCGGTGGCGGTTAGCGGGCCGCGCTACGAACCCGGTGACCTGAGTTCATTTCCCGCTCACGGCCAACACCAGTGATGATTATCTGGACCGGTTCTGGGCGTCCCCTAGGTATACTCAGGCTCAAATGAGTATGTTGTGTGTAAACATCGCCACTCGGTAGACAAAGGCGGCCAGGCGTGGTGCTGGCCACCCACCCCCTTGTGTGCCGTGCCGACCTTCATAGGTACTCGCTAGGAGCGCTTGCCCCAACAGTCTGTTAAGGCCATACTGGGGATGTTTGGTGGATGAGTGAGTGCTTGAGGGATGTACGTGCGAGTGCCATGGTGAGTGGTGTATGATCGTAAGGCGTGGACCCCTCAGGGCGTGGAGGTATCCATGAGACGCCGGCAGGCGATCTTATCCTGCGAACGCAGTCACGCCGAGTAAAGGTTGCTTCACGAGTTTGTGAGTAGCTGAGTGCTGCTGCGTGCGAGTGAGTGCTGCTGTGAATGAGTGGATGGTGTATGATTGACAGTGTACTGCTGTGTGAGTGCTGCTTTACTTATGAGTGATTGTGTGCTGCTGTGTATGTGAAGGCTGACCCACAGCACTCGTGTACAGACCTGAAATAGTGAACTGCTGCTTTTGATTGTGATGTTTGCTCAAGTTTTGCCATTGGTCTGCATGTGCGATGCACATCAAACACAGACTTGGCCACGAGCATGCATCATACATCTATTCCACACACCTCCACCTGCTCCTCTTCTCACCTGAGCTTGCACTTGTGCATACTAATCCATGCATGCACATGTGCACGGGCATTTCCACAATTTCGACGATTCCGGACATACATTTCAGACACTTTAAAGATGCGGATAATTATTAATATAAATCATTCAGTGGCTTTTCACTTGGCCGTAAGTTAACAAAAGGATTTTAAACTGTATTCTATGTGAAACTGGAAGCCAGTGCAGGGAAGAAGAAGGGGTTCTGGTTAACACCCCAGCAGCCGCATTCTGAACAAGCTGCAAATAGACCATCACCTTCTTAGCCACGCCAGCGAGTAAGACGAGCTGTCGCCTATACGAGATGAGATGGAGGCTCGGAGCAGATTCTCTGCTTCTGAAGCAGAAATAAGGGATCGGATACGGGAGATATTCT